CTCAAGCTTTTGTTGCATGATTAGGCTGCTGTACTGACCGTGTTCCCATACTTGGCAGTGGAGAGACCCTTTCTCGCCTTTACTGCGATCCCTTTTCATTAGTTTCCGCAGCTAGGAGGTAGTCTTGCACCAATCAACTCCTCCATACTCGAAATGTAGGGGGAAAAGGTGACAACGACACACTATACATTTCTCCATTCGTACATCCGGAGAGGCGTGATGTGCTCCAGTGGCAGTCCATGAGACATTCAAATATTCGCGCGTGGGAAACTATTCAGACGGCAGCCGGTGGCGAGATTTAACTACGTTCACATTTGAATGCAAAGAACGGGTCCGCCCCTCGGCGCCGCAAACGTTTCGCCTTCAAATGATGCATCAAGAGTTCAACATTAACAGACATTTGGAATATTTTAAATCATGAGAAGGAGCCCGGGGCAGGTGAGCCAATTGGATGTTCAATTCTTGATAATTAGGTGGCCAGGGGATGAATTCTTGTACGTAGTAAAAGCAATCAATCTAAAGTGTATAACATCCCTCACAAGGATTTTACGATTGTGCGCAGGAAATGCAGCGCTTAATCTAATAGTATAGGTATAATGAAGTTCGGTTAGTTAAGAATAGGAAAAAAGAAACCCTCTTAATCGCCTTCCTTACCCTTATAACTGCACTAAATGGATCAACGACCGAATATTGATCTAGTAGAAAGAACTGTAGCACATGGGAACTACTGCGATTGCTTGTCTAAGCCTTGCCACTCCTCATTTTTCTGATCAAAAATTTTATACTCCCATCGGTTAGTAGACAGAGTACCCAGAAATTTCCATGCTCCAGCGGTGACAATATCAACACCTTGAATGCAGCAGTATTAAAGATGCACGTATGATCTCCTAAAAGCGAAAAGTACATCCATTTAGAATTGTCCAATGAGGGGATGCTCGATGCTATCGCCAGTAAATTTATGTCGCGCTGCACACGTTGCGCGCGGTGCAACACCCTCAATTTGGAGATGAGATAATCACGTCTGGACCGTGGAAGATTCTCCAACTGATTTTCTCCCACCCAGATGTTTGGCCACAACTTCCGGCGCATCGGTGCCGCAGCGGTCTGGCACGTTTCTATTCAGCAACCCTCTACAACTCGCTGCCTAAACTCCTCTTTTCGACTCTTCTATCTCGTAAATGCAAAGCAAACTCGACCCGCTTTGTTCCGCTTTCACTCTGTTTTTCGAAAACCGATTTGAAACGACATAGTCATTTCGAGTGATGATCCTCTCGAGCTAAGAGAAGGATCCCAAGTTGAACGGTCATTCGAAATAAGGCATGTATTGTTAGAAGTGTTATCGGATGCTCATTCCGAATCTGCGTTCCAGTTTTGCCGAACGATCCTCCAACCTAGTTGTGAACATGATTCAAAGAGCGCTCGGATATTTCTGGATATTCATCGGTGGCTTGGTTCAATGGTGAAAAGCCAAGCCACATATGCGAGAGACCATAGCTCGGGTTTGTTATGAGCAGAATTTTTATGTTTTATAGGACTTATTTGTTGAGGGCCTAGAAATTTCATTTAAATTGCTTTCATCGCGTTCTACATCTTCTAATGTTCGAGCGGNNTATAACTTTCATCTCTTTTTGAACGTGCGTGCTACTCTAGCTTGAAATTCCAGCACCCCTTCTCCGCTCCATGTCTTCTGCGTTCGCTTATTCCAAGTGTCTTCCGAAATGACCCTCATCGACCCTAGTTCAAAGAATTGTTCGTGGAAAGCAGGTTCGAGATTAGTACCCGAAAACACTGCTAACAGTATAAGTCTCATTTCGTATGAACACTTCACTAGAGATCCTTCCCTGGTTAGAGCGCCTTATCGAGGAATGAACAAATATCTTAGAAAAGTGATTTCAAAAACATGTCTAGCAGTATAAGATTTATTCAAATAGGCACTTCGACTCGGGATCCTTCCTTGGTAGGTTGCGTTGAATATGTGGGTGAGAAGTATTTATTTAAAGTATAAGGACATTGTCCCAATGGCATTGTAGTGGCCATGTGAGGCAAGCAGTGCGCAGCGGGATGATCCACTGCCCGTTACCTGCCCAGCGGGATCTCAACTCGACGACGATGGAATGCAAGCGCACCCGGTCAAGTGATAGCATTCCTTAGTAGATGAAATAGCCTAATAACGTTGTTTTCCATTGTTTGACGATTTCCATCTCAGCACTTGATCGACCCTGGTTCTTCTACAAAATGGGACAAAATCTTTGAAACACAACGTACTTAGCCCTATTTTTGCTCAACCATGATAAAGCATTTGGATTCATCTACCCCCTCACAATTTGGTATCTTTGTTGGAGCGATCCTTATGCTGGTTATTCAGTCGATTCAGAAAGATCTTCTCCTACACCACAGTTCACGATAAGAGTGGTTTCTGAGATTTCCCTGTAGTATGAATTCAGGGCTTCTCTTTAAACCATACCTGTCCTTATAGTGGCGAAAGACGTCCTGGAAGGAACCAGAGATTGTATCGGGTGAATGCCACTTCCCTAGTGGACGAGTTTCAACGGCTTTGTAGAGGCTGCACCATTCATAAGGGAACCAATGTAGAAAATTCAAACAACTTTTCATGACCCATCGCAACAATAAAAGGCAATTCGGAAGTTATGGCGTGATGTAGTCAGCTATTTGCACAATGGGAGCAAGTTAAATCTCGTCCAAAAACTACTTACATACCATTCCTAACGCGGTGATCTTGTACAAACTCCACTTCCACTGCTTTAAAAAAAACTAGAAGAAGGCGGATTTTCTAGCTTCCTTCGCCACCGATGTACTCCTTTACATAAACAACTCCGCTTTCCAATCTAAAATGGTATCTCAAAATCATTTTGAACTGTGCCTTCAGAATTACATGCTACCATGCGCAGATTACACTTCCGTAGCATCATTAGTGCGAGAATTGTTCAATGTGCTGTTTCACGTTCTGATCATCGTTCCCTGGCAAGGACCCATTAATAAAAATCGTCGAAATGGCGGGCGTTTTCTAGGACAGACGTCCCGTGCGATCATCAATATCATTCGCGTCATGTCGACAGGTTCTCACCGACCGTACACAGCCGATGTCACTGACTGACGTCTCTTTCGATTCTACGGTTTCTCCAGCAGCGAGGGAGGAGTTATATAAAAGGCCAGTGCCACTGTCGCGTTCACCATCGCTTAGCACCAATGACCATTGCCACATCGCTCCAGGAGAAGAAGTTACAAGACTACGTCGAATCGGATGTGATCCGCGTAGTTTCGGGAACGACTGCTCGGCGATTCGTTTATTCGATCTACATCTGTCTCGTAACAGCTTCGGCCGTCATACTGTATCTATTCCCGTCTACAGTAATCATTACCGGCTTCATTATTCTGCAACTGTTACTGCTCGCATCTCTTTATCCTCTGATCAAATTCGCCATCAAGACCGAAGACCACGAACTGATCTGGGACCAGGATGGATTGCACTGGTTCCACCCCAACGACGCCATACAAGTGAACGAATACTGCGAGCAGCCCTATAGAGAAATGCCAGCACCTGCAAACTTCCACATGAGTTACGCATTCATTTGAGGGTTTGCCGTCAGCCTTACGGGAGAATTTTCTCTCGTTTTTGCTACAACCAGTTTTTACATGATCGTTGCATAACTACTGTATTACTCGAGGTAGGATTTGGTGACGACGGCGATTTGGGGCTAAATGTGCATGCCTACCAGTTACTGGTTTTTGTTTTCACCTAATCGTCTCCATTTTGCCGTTGTGATTGATTCCGATTGAGTGTCTCATCGTATTTTGCGGGTTGTATATAGAATAACAAGTTGCAATATGTCATACATGTTTCGAATGAAGTTATTTTGGTGGTCTGTAACTGCCTTGTACTAAGGGCGACAATATCGGATCAGGAAGGAAATATAGTTGAAAGGGCCACTACAGTGTGCTCTGCTCTACGAACGCAAGAAGGCGGAAAAGGATGGGGCGCACTGCCGTCCTGTATTAGAGCATAGGAATGACACTTCACCAGGGGATAGATTTCCTACCTAAAATTAGGGAGAGCGGGAGCATCGGGTGGGTGAGATGCTGTCGTGTGATCTTGAAGTGAGCGGTGCAAGCTATGTTCGCGAACATCCTTCAACTTGAAACGGCAGCATCTGCTGTTCACTGTAGAAGAGTTGTTTTGAGAAATTTATTTTATCAAGAAAGTTTTTCGTCTTTCTAGACTATCGCCGAGGAGAATGGCAACTCGAGAAGTCTGGACTAGAAGCGTCCATAAGTCTGACTCAAATAGAATTTCATGGGTACTACCAAAATTCTAAACATTTTCAGGTTCTGCAGGCCCTACTACTGGAGGAAACTAACATTCAAATACCGCTACGACTTTTAATGAAAGTTGATCGAGAGATGCATGCGTTCGATCCGATGCATGCACACTGATACTAGTATAGTACTGATACTAGTTGTAAGGTGAAGATGAGAACTGAGCAGCTGTGTTAACACTGCCTGCAAAAAGTCAACTCTCCCACGACTGCGGTGATTTTTCGGAAGACAAGTTAAAGTCCGAGGTTTTTGCGTCGGTCGTCATCACGTCGTCACCCGTGCCTGAGTCTGTGTTAACTCCGATCGGACGGGGATTAGTTGCGACGGTGCGTTTGTCAACGTACTAATGAACCCTCCTGGTCATGTTACATGTTGTTCTCCCGTCGTTTCTTCCGGGCATGATCTATGATACGCTATTAAAAGGTGTTATTTGTATGTGCCGCTGCGCTTGTAAGACGTAAAATACCATCCTGCACGGTTTACCGTCTAGCCAGCGTCGCGTAGCGTATTAAGCGTCTCCGCCGTAGGAAGCTGGTGGCTACAGCTACCTTACGGACCAGCACATGAGCTGATGGCTACAGCTACCTTACGGACCAGCACATATTCAACCTTACAAGTTTTAGATTGGGTGCGGCAGTTACTACTTCCTGCCTGTTGTCAAGATGTCTAGTGTCAGTGCCAGTAAAGCCAACGTGACCAAAGCCATCACAGCATGGTAAGCCATCAAAGGGTAAGATCCCCGCACCAATAGATGCGCAGGCTATTGGCTTACTACGAGGTCTTGAGGCATATCGAGCTACAGCGTCTTGAGGCATATCGAGCTACAGCGCAGCGTTATCTAACCCAGGTGCGTGCATCATTACAAACGCTCACGGAAAAGCGTCAAGCACTTTTAGAACTAGTCAAATGTTTCGATGAACAGGACGCAGACAGTGATGCGTATGAATCTTATGATCGTGACTCTCGCGTAGATGATGCCATCGTACAATACTGCTCCTAATTTTTGTTCAACCGACGGTTTGCGTCGGATTAATCCGTCGCAAACCGTCGCATCGCTATAACTTTTGTTATAGTG